GTGTGTGTGTGTGTGTGTGTGTGTGTGAGAGCGGTCACCAGTTGAACTCAATCTCACATTGGGAACAAAGCCGGGCTCCATCTTCTTCTCATAAACGTCGTCCCAGTTGACATCGGAGAGGTAGGGCGCCGTCTGCATTTGAGCCAGACTACAGAAGCGATGCTCTGGGTTTACAGTCAATAACTACAGAAACACAAAACACAAGCACATCCAGGAAGAACACCATCAGGACAGTCCAACAAACCAACCAACCACACTTCTCACTCACACACAAACATCAATGCATATTCCTATTCATAGAAGCATTCACACCACACTTGACTTCTGTAATGTGACATATTTCTGAGTAAAACAGCATATAAAGAGCTAAATTAAACAAAATGAAAAACATTTATTAACTTGCTCAGAATGCACAGACCCAGCTAACAGGAACATTCTGCCAAAAGTTATGAACACGTTCTTCCAGTAACATTAATAAAATGTTCACATTCAGATTTATCTGGCCTTTGATCTCTGTTCTCAAAACATTAATCATGGAACATATTTCTGAAACGGTGGACGTTTATATAATGTTTTTCACGTTTCAGAAAGTTCATTCAAAAGTAACATTCCCGTAATGTTTGCAAAATTATAAAATGGAATGTAAAAAAAAAATTGGAGTTTTGAATGTTCAGAGAACAATCAGAAATAATGTTTTCATAACTTAATGGGAATGTTAGCAATGTCTTTCAACATATTTTTGTTAGCTGGGGAAATTCCTCTTTCAGCTCAGGAGATCTCGGGTTTAATTTAAGTATCCGTTTCATTCTTAGGAGACATACAGACACTAATGAGCGAGAAAACTTGGGTCTTTTTCTCAGGAGAAAAGCAAGAAAACTTCACATTTACATGTATGCATTTAACAGATCTACTTATCTACAGCAACCTACAATAGAGGAGCATAAGCAATCCCTCACAAGTGCATTGCATTTAATATTAATGCTATTTAGGAGAAACTTGAGGTTTTGATAGATGTGGCAGGAACAGATTCTTTATCTTTACATGCATAGCTGAATCTAATAGTCATAACTGATGAATTTAGCAACATCAGCGCTGTTACTGAACTGACTGGAGCTGAAGAACGACACTACTGCTTTGGATTCAGCTTCGTCTGAAGACTGAGAACCGATCAGTTTACTGTTTCACAAGGATAGTAAAAACTCAGTCTCCTACATCAGTGTTTTATACAGATTAAAAAATTTATTACATTATGTTGGAATTAAAATTTTAAAATATAACCAATACGTAAAAAAAATAAATAAAAAAAAATACAAAACTCAATGTTAATTTTACTTATGTTTCCAAATGAGATCTCATGAAAATCTCAATAATTTCTCCTAATTTTTTATTTTTAGATTTTGTTTTCATTTAAATTTGAGCTAAACTTTCTTTTTTTTTAAAGTAATTTTATTCTTGTTTTTTGTAATTTTTATTACTTTTTTTTAAATATGTCTATATAATTTTTCTTTTTTTTTTCTTTCAGTTTTAGTTTGAATTATTTTAGTACATCCAGTTAAGCTAAACAAAAATTAGAAATGATGCCTTGGTAACCTTTAAAATAAAATAAAATAAAAATTTTATTTTATTTCAGTCTCACATGTGAGCGTTTTAGAAGAGATTTCAACAATGTCTCAAAGTGTGCTCAAATTGGCCGATATACCAAAATCTGCACACAAAGGCAAGCGATCTTAAGATGAAGTCGGATCATTGACTCATTTGTGTCTGTATGTCTAAGAAACACCTGGATCAAACTGACACTTCAATGAAATACAACAGAGAACTGCTGAGCTGAAAGAGGAAGTTCTGAACAACACACTTCCTGTGGGTCCATCAGTTCATCCTACCCACAATGCTCTTCTCCGGTGATTCATGCACACAGTATAATCTCCCCATATCTCTCAGCTCTAATAAATTACTGTAATGTCTCTCTGTTCTTCACCAATATCTATTCTCCTCTCATAATATTTCTTCTCTCTCTCCAGCGCTCCAGCAGAGCGACACTCGTTTCCTTCATTCATCTTGTTTTATTATCTCTCCAGCTCATTATCATCTCCTCCTCTTTCTCTCAATCCTTCGCTTTATTCTCTCCTGCATCATTAGAGTGTTTTATCCTCTCTTCACTCATTCTGACTCCATCTGCGATCTGTCTGTTTTCATTTCTCTCTCTCCATCTTCTGTCCATTTCATCCTTATTAACGCAGTTTGTTGAGGTAAAGGCTTTTCCGACTCGGGCCAGAAAGAACTCCCCTAACAACGACACCATAGCAACCACCCACAATACCCTAGCAACCACCTAGAACACCCTAGCGACAGCAGATCAATGTGGTAAAACAATCAGAACATATTAGCACCCAGAACCACCCTAGCAACTACCCAAAACACCCTAGAAACCACCTAGAACACCCTCACAACTACCCCAAACACCCTAGCAACCACCTAGAACACCTTCACAACTACCCCAAACACCTTAGCAACCATCTAGAAAACCCTAACAACCACCTAGAACACCCTAGCAACCACTCAAAACAACCTAGCAATCACTTAGAGCACCCTAGTAACCACCTTGAATAACCTAGCAACCACCTTGAACATCCTAACAACCACCTAGAACACCCTAGCAACCACCTTAAACACCCTAACAACCACCTTGAACACCCTTTTATCCATATAAAACACAATAACAACCACTCAAAACAACCTAGCAATCACTTAGTACACCTTAGTAACCACCTTGAACACCTTAACAACCACCTAGAACACCATAGCAACACCATAGCAACCACATAGAACACCCTAGCGACTGCAGATTAATGTGGTAAAACAATCAGAACACATTAGCAACCACCTAGAACACCATAGCAACTACCCAAACACCCTAGAAACCACCTAGAACACAATAGCAACCACTCAAAACAGCCTAGCAACCACTTAGAACACCATAGTATCCACCTAGAACACCCTAGCAACCACCTTGAACACCCTAACAACCACCTATAACACCCTAGCAACCACCTTAAACACCCTAACAACCACATTGAACACCCTATTAAAAATCTAAAACACAATAGCAACCACTCAAAACAACCTAGCAACCACTTAGAACACCCAAACAACTACCCAAACACCCTAGAAACCACCTAGAACACAATAGCAACCACTCAAAACTACCTAGCAACCACTTAGAACACCATAGTATCCACCTTGAACACCCTAACAACCACCTATAACACCCTAGCAACCACCTTAAACACCCTAACAACCACATTGAACACCCTATTAAAAATCTAAAACACACACTCTCTCTCTCACACTCACACACACACACTCGTTTGGATTAGAAATGGCTATGCAAATGGTACAAAAGCTTTGGCGTTTTTGCCTGCAAGTTGTGCCTGCACACTTGAGAGAGATTTTAAACAAGACGTGGCTTCATAAAACCTCTCAGTATCGTATCGTCTATATTTAAACTCACTAATGTCAGCACATCCACATAAAACTGTGGAAAATACTGGGCTTTTCACTATGTACATGTTTACATGATGAAGCGGTGAGTTTACGGTAATGATTCGCTACACATGTGCCGACGTCATTTACTGAATTAATCTCAAAACTACCTAGCAACCACTTAGAACACCATAGTATCCACCTAGAACACCCTAGCAACCACCTTGAACACCCTAACAACCACCTATAACACCCTAGCAACCACCTTAAACACCCTAACAACCACAATGAACACCCTATTAAAAATCTAAAACACAATAGCAACCACTCAAAACAACCTAGCAATCACTTAGAACACCCAAACAACTATCCAAACACCCTAGAAACCACTTAGAACACAATAGCAACCACTCAAAACTACCTAGCAACCACTTAGAACACCATAGTATCCACCTAGAACACCCTAGCAACCACCTTGAACACCCTAACAACCACCTATAACACCCTAGCAACCACCTTAAACACCCTAACAACCACATTGAACACCCTATTAAAAATCTAAAACACAATAGCAACCACTCAAAACAACATAGCAACCACTTAGAACACCCAAACAACTACACAAACACCATAGAAACCACCTAGAACACAATAGCAACCACTCAAAACTACCTAGCAACCACTTAGAACACCATAGTATCCACCTTGAACACCCTAACAACCACCTATAACACCCTAGCAACCACCTTAAACACCCTAACAACCACAATGAACACCCTATTAAAAATCTAAAACACAATAGCAACCACTCAAAACAACCTAACAACCACTTAGAACACCCAAACAACCACCTAGAACACCCTAGCAACCACCTTGAACACCCTAACAACCACCTAGAACACCCTAGCAACCACTCAAAGCAACCTAGCAACCATTTAGAAGACCCAAACAACCACATAGAACACCCTAGCAACCACCTTGAACACCCTAACAACCACCTACTGTAGAACACCCTAGCAAATGCAGAGCAATGTGCTAAAAACAATCAGAACATGTTACACACAAAATGTCCTGCCAAAAACTTACAACACCTGAGTAACCACCCGGAACACCCTAGCAACGAGTTAGAATGCCCTAGCAACTACAATATTCTAAAAACAATCAGAACATGTTAACAACAATATAGAGATGTTCAGGCAACCCCCCAAAACACCCTAATAATCAACCCAAACACCAGAGCAACCACCTAGAACACATTAGCAACTGCAAAGCAATATGCTAGAAACAAACAGAACACATTAACAACCTCAATGTCCTTTCAAAACTCCATAGCAACCACCCCAAACACCCCAGTAAAGATCAAAGAACACCTTAGCAACCCCCTGGCAACCATCCAGAATATCTTGACAACATCCAACTAGATTTACACTGTCATAAGTATATGTGAGTGGGGTTTGCCTGTGTAAGTCTATGACACCATGCTGGGGTGTTATGGGCAGTTCCTGCTAGGGTGTTGGTTCTTCATCTGGAGCATTAGTTGTGTATGTTTGTGATGCTCTGTTCACCTCACCTTCCTCAGCAGCGAGACGAGGTCTTTGTGCCAGGATGAGCTGTACTGCACACTGACCGTACTGAACAGCTGCAGCAGAGACTCCACCGAGTTACTGGCGTGGATGTCGTATGGCCTCTGAGAGACAGACAGAGAGAGACATTAATGTGTAACGAATTTACATTATAAAAACACTGTTTTGAAATGTTTCTAAAACACTGAAATCTCCAGTTTTTTGTTCATGATTATAACGTTTTTTTAAAGGTTACAAAAACGTTTCTAACAGTGTTCTACTAACTTTATCTTCACCCAAAACATAATGTTATTTGTAACCCTGGAGCACAAAAGCAGTCTTAAGTCGCTGGGGTATATTTGTAGCAATAGACAACAATACATTGTATGGGTCAAAATTATACATTTTTCTTTTATGCCAAAAATCATTAGGATATTAAGAAAAGATCATGTCCATGAAGATATTTTGTAAATTTCCTACCGTAAATATATTAAAACTTAATTTTTGTTTAGTAATATGCATTGCTAAGAACTTCATTCGGACAACTTTAAAGATGATTTTCCTCCTCCTTCGGTAGGAGGCAAAAGTGTTGGGAAGATTACTTTAAAAATTTAATAAGTTACAGATTCCAAGTTACCCTATTTAAAATGTAATAAGTAGTGTAACTATTTCAGTTACTTTATTAAAGTAAAGTAACTGTTACATTTGATTACTTTTTGATTACTTTTCTAAATTTCCAATGAATGTTTTCAACTGATAATCATTTAGAAACATGTAAAGCAGGCAGGGTTAACTTCACAGTAGCACTCAACACTGATTACTGTCAGACTTTCAGATTCCTTCATCACTTGAAATTAAGATTAAAATAATTTAATTTTAAAGCACAGCCACCACAAAATCAGACTTCAGCTCCTCCTCCAGAGATCATTCTGAGGTAAATACAGATTTAAAATCATAACAAGAAACAGTTAGTAGCTATGATTCTGTTTTTGAAATCAACCCAAATAGGAAATAAAACTTTTATCAAATAAGCATGTGTCCTAAACTCCTGAAACATTGGTGTCTCATATTTTAGAGCAGTCAGTGCAATTTAGGAAAGAAATCAATTAAATCTGTATATGGGAATGTGTGTGAATATTTTTTATGTAACCCCCTTTGTAATCGTCAACACCAAAAACACCTTTTTCTCAGCTTTTTGTTTAAAATCACTCACCGACATTCAAGTGTTAATAAAAAAAATGCATGGAGCTGGAATAAAACTGTTTGTTCGTTTGAAAGCAAAGGCTCTGTTCTTTCCTTTGACATATCGCATGTTCAGATATTGATACAACAAAATATCCATGAAAGTTTTGTGAAAATGATCAAAAATGCTGGCAGTGACTAGCAACTTTTTTTTATATTTAATGCTGGCAGGGAAAGAGTTATAGGTTACAAAAATGTTTCTTAAAACATTCATCAAGTGTACATAACATCATAGGGATGTTCCAAGAATGTTGATCTCAGAACGTTTTCTCTCAACATTATATTAATAAAGTTATGAGAACATTCCATAAACATTACTTTAAGAACATCTTGTTCTAACATTGATATAACTTTTAATAATCACTAGTGAAGTTTGAGAGAGCGTTCCCCGTTAGGTCCTGCTGAAACTCTGTATGAATCTGCACAGTTAGGGTTAGAATTAGAGGTTGGTTTATAGGGTTAGGGTTGCAAACCAGCAAAGCTTAGCTGGTAAAGATGGTTGACCAAAGAGGTTAAGCTAGTTAAGCACCAGCACATCAGCATCCCCTGCTTGAGACTTCAGTCCAAACACAAGATTTACTGGTGGCTCGTCAATCTGCGTTTCCCAAAACCATCAGAAGCATCAGTAGATCGTAGAAACCATTGCCACCGAGGTTCTCTACAATCATGCTTTTAGGAATTGTAATTCTGGATTTTTCATCAGTGAAGACATTACGCTGTCTGCAAAAAATAAATAAGTAAAAAAAAAAACTTACCCAACTTCGCAGAACCTCAAAGATCGTCACGCCCAGCGACCACCAGTCCACCTCGAACGCATAACCAGTTCCCCCGCTCACGAACGACTGGAAGATCTCTGGAGCTGTCAGGAGAACACACATGCATTCAGAGCATGATTATGATGGGATGTGAGCTACACAGTCAGACTTTGACTAACAAAACAATGTCTGGTCCAGTTATTCAAAACAAGAACTGCCACTCAAGACAAGAGGAGACCGTCTGACTGACAGTTCAATGTTTTAGTTTAATGTTCTAGTTAGATCAGTGGTTCTCAAGCTTACTGACCGTAATGGCCATCTATACCTTTCCGTTCTCCACCATTTCCATAGGGACCAGCACAAAGGATTTAATGCGTAAAACCAAAAACTACAGTTTGCTTTTTGTTTGTCAGGATACAAAAAAAATCAAATAAAAAAATCAAACTTAAAGGGTTAGTTCAGGTGTATATGACTTTCTTCTTTCAGACGAATCCAGTCGGAGTTATGTTAAAAATTGTCCTGGCTATTCCAAGCTCTATCATTGCAGTCAGCGGGTGTTGCAGTGCTTCAGTCCAAAAGAAGTTAAATAAAAAGCGCCCATCCATAAAAAAAGTGTCTCACACGGATTTACTGGATCAGGATTAGGGAAAGGATTATTAAAAATATTTTATACTCGCAATTTCTAAGTGATAAAATATTTTAGAGTTTTGGCATTTTAAGATTTGATTAATATCCATGACTTTTCCAGGTCTAGAAAATACACATTTAAAATGAGGCTTACTCATATATCTAAGTTAGACCTCATTAGCAACCACATATAAATGTCACGGCAACACCCTGCCAACCACCCAAAAACACCCTAGCAACTGCAAAACAATATACTAAAAGACCAGCAGAACACATTAACAACTAGGGCTGGGTGTTTTTTTTTTGATTTTAGCAATAAATTCAAATGCAATGTTTTCCCACGATTGTTTTAAATCAAGCAATCGTGGTTTTGAATAAAAATATTAGCAAACGTTACAATATGATAATACGCCAATGATAACAATTAAGAGATAAATCCTGGTTCTTCAAAGGAACTGTTGTGGAAGGGTTGAATCAAAATATGAGTTCTTTTAGATTTTTTAATGCTGGTTTTGTCTTATTTCAAATCATTTTCATCTTAAGGCCCCCTAGTGGATCCAGGACTCCTGGTTGAGAACCGCTGAGTTTGATAACTGAAATAGTTGATCAAACAATAATACATCAGTCTGTAAAAAAATATAAAATGAAAACTGGAAGATGTTCAGAGTTCATCATAATTTCTTGTGTTTGTTTGAGTTCTGGATCTGTGATGTAGATGATGAGACGTTTCTTACCCATGTAAGGCTTTGTACCCGCTAACGCCGTGGCTCGTTCGCCGTCCTTGATTATGGTAGCGATGTTAAAGTCTGTTAAATGCGCGTGACCTGAAGAACAACAGAGAGACGAGTGACAACCAGACAAGAAGCGGAGCTAAAGCTCAAACGCACGCATGTGAGAACTACTAGAGCAATCCAGGCCAATAATTCCCTCTTTCTAAAAAGGGAACATCAGAAATAGACCGAAGAGAACTCTCCTTGAACCATTTCTGAGAGCTTCGCACACACGCATCTCACCTTGCTCGTCCAGGAGGATGTTGTCCGGTTTGATGTCCCTGTGTGGAGAGATCATGACATCATCACGTCAGTTCACATGACATCAACACCTGGACTTTATTTACACGCTAGTTCTCTCTGACCGCATCTGCAGCCGTGTTTTGAAAGCTTCGGCGGCCTTCTTTTGTGTGAATGTTCAGTTCTCAGGGGGCTGTCACACTTTCAACACACTCACTAATTACAACGAGCGCACACACACACACACTCACTCACATACACACACACACACA